CCCCCCCCCCCCCCCCCCCCCCCCCCCCCCCCCCCCCCCATCCCCCAACCCCCCCCCCCCCCCCCCCCCCCCCCCCCCCCCCAACCAGTTGTAGTTTGCCATTGTCCAAAGCAAGTTAATAACATTTTAAAAGAATTTAAAGTGTAATAAAATCAGAAGTCAGTTTTCCACAACCAAAGAAAAGTGGACAGTCAAGTTGCATCGTGTAGATAATTACTCACTGGCATTGTAGACGTCTATTTTGTCATTTGGATTACCATTTTTTTTTCCACTTTGTGGAGCTTTCCAAAATAATGATACTTTTACGTGTAATCAGCTAGTCAATTGAAAAGTATGTTTTAATCTCCTAGTATGTGTCCCAAATTAGGTGACGTAGAGAAACTATGGGTATATAAAAGATGTATATGGTCAGGCTCTGTCTTCAAACCTAATTAATTGGAAGAGAGACATTAATTAATATGTTACTTCTTCTTTACTCATCCAAATTTAGAGAAACCGTATTGTCTTAAATATGCTGTAGGAATTCGGGGAAGTAGAGATTAATGTGATTTGGACTATTCTAAATAATCAAAAGCTTTGCTTGTTACTGAGTCACTGAAAGGACTAATTCCAGTCTTAATTTTGAATATATATGTTATTTCAGTCACAAAAATTGGCAAATTGTTCTAGGCACCGGGGACCACCATGTGGACCAATAAAGTGTTTCCTGTCCTCGAGAGCTCGCAGTACAAGTAAATATACAAAGTCATTGCAGATCAATGGACGAGGCTCTAGGAGTCCTGGACCACAGAGGAAGCTTCAAGGAGTTTGTGACCTTCAACGTCTTGACAACTGGGGGACCGGGGGGGGGGGGCAAATGTGCATTTGCAGGAGGGTGAATTTTGAGAGAAAGGCATTCCAGAAAAAAGAAACTCCAAACGGCCTGTGAAAAGGCATAGTGAAAAGGAAACCTGAGACCAAAGCTGAGATTTTCTTTCCTACGTTTATTTCAAAGCCCTTCACTATCTGTATAGAGAGAGGCAGTCTTTAAAAACAAACTACTAGACTCTTAACGACCATGAAATTTACATATATGTGAATGCTAATGGTTACTTCCCCATGTTTTGGGGTGTTGAGAATTTACTGTAAACAACTGTATCCATTTTATGGAAGTCCCTACCTTCTAATAGAAGCCATTTTGTGATGATTCGATAGTTTCTAATCAATTTCAAAGAGAATGCAGGTCGTGGCACCAAATGAAGGTCTTCTATAACAAATACTTATTTTAATGAAGCCTAGTTTGCCTTAGGGTTCACTGAGAGAGTATAGGACCAGAATAAAAGGGGCATAAAAACTACGTTAAGAAAATCATTAGATACTAGCACCTTGTATTTTGAAGGCCTCAACATTTACTGTGAACAGTTCACACAGGTTTACATAACGTCACTCCAATTAGCATGCACTTAAAAATCATCCAAGATTAGCTTAAAAATCTCCTATTTGAACCAGATAATGCAAAAATCATTTTAAAAAGAAAACGTCCTCGTATAACGAGCTTATCCTTAAAAGGAGACAGAAATGTAACATCAGGCTACGGCATCAAAGTTTGCGAGCAGCGGCATTGAAAACTTTCCCGTGGCGATCTTAACTGGAGGTCACGTCACATTTCACCAGCGAGGACATTTTCCCGTGCACGTCGAGGAGGAAGGCGGACACCACTCGGGGGCCGGGACACCCTCCCGTTTGGGGTCGGAAGCTGCAGCCCCGACGGCGCCGAGTTTGCGCCCCCCCGCGCCCCGGCCTCTCCGCAGCCGGGAGGCCACGGCTCGGCCCCCGGCTCTCCGGCTGCCTGTTAACATCCGCAGGGAAAAGGCCGAGCGGCGCCACGTCGCGCAAACACGGGAGGGAGGGAGCCGCGTCTGCGAGGTCCCCACACGGGTCAGCAGGGAGCGAAGGGTTCGGGGCTCGCTCCCTCCCTCCCTCCCTCGTCCCCAGGGGGCGGGGAGAGGGGCGCGCGGGGGAAGGGGAGGGGCGCGCGCTCGGAGCCTCCCCCCCCCCCAACGCCCCCGCCCCAGGGTCTGGACTCGCGCGGGGGCTGGTGGGGGCAAGGACGCCTCGACCTAGGGTGACGCCAGGCATCTCCCGGGCGACGGCTCCGCAACAAGATGGCGGACGATAAAGAAAGGGAAGGCCCAGGTAAGAGCCGCCCGCCGCGACCCCGGCCCGCACTGGGACGCTCCCGGCGGGGTGGGCCGCCCTCCACCGGAGCCTCCTCCGCCGGGAGAGAGCCGACAGGGGACGGGGCCGCCGGCCCGCCCGCGGGGGAGGCCGCCTCCCGCGACACCCGCGGCCTCCCCCGCCGGCGCCTCGGCCCCGCCCAGTCCCCTCCTCCCGCTCCCCTCCCTTCTCCTCCCGCTCCCCTCCCCCTCCCGTCTCCCTTCTCCCCCCCACCCCCCCGCCCGCGCCGAGCTCCCGGCCGCGGCTCCGCCAGGCCGGGGCGATAATGGCGTCCTTGTTCGCGGCCGCCGGCATCCCGCCTCCACAGCCTCGCCCCGGACTTGCTGCCGCGGGCGCCACGCCGGCAGCCACCGGGCTGCGGGCGTCTGGGGCGGCCCGGGCGACGACGGGCTCCGGCCGCCCGGATCCGGCGGCCTTTTCGGGCCGCGCCGAAGCCCCGCCCGGCGGGAACGCGCCCGCCGCCTCCATTTTGCAGCCTCAGTGGGGACACGCGGGGGGGGGGGGACGCGGGGGGACCGGCCTCGGGCTCACGGGCGGCCCCCCTCCGCGCCTCCAGTCCCCGGAACGCCCGCCCCGCCCGTCGGGGCCAGTCCGGGCACACGCGCCCCGCGGCCCTGGGAGGGCCCTGCGAGGGCCCTGCGAGGGAGAGCCTCGAGGAGAGAAGGCGGACGAGCCCGACTGCGCGGCGCGGGGTGGGGGGGGCGGGGGGAACCCTCCCGGGTCTTTGAGGGGCGGGCGCCTCGGCGGAGCCCCGACCGTCCGCGCTGAGCGGCAAGACCTTGACGTTGTCTCAGCGCCGCCCCGATCCTCGGGCACCCTCCGCGGTTGCTCAGAAATAACAGCCTGTGTGCGCGCCAGCGGGCGCACTCGGGGCCACAGCCACGGCCAAGAGCCGGGAGACCGGAGAGGCGAACCTCTTAAGAGATGAAAAGTATTCCAGCCCTGTTCCCCCTCTGGAGTGCTTGACACACCCCGTCACGTGTCCCCTGGCTCCGCCGGCGACCGAGTGCGTTTACAAGTGAAGAAACCAGTCTCGTTTGGGTGATCACAGAAAATCAGCGGAGAGACAGGGGAAACCGTGCCAAAGATCTACCTAGTGATAACAGGAATAGGATTTGATTTATTTATAGCACCGCTAGCCTGAAGAGTCGGAATGATGGTATTACAGATGTTACCGTTCCTAAGATCGCCTTCTAATATTACTGTGCCCCTTTAAAAGTGCAAGATCCATCCGAAGGCAATGATTACTTTAAGACTCATGTTAAGATGTTTTATTTTTTTAAGTTTGTTTATTTATTTATTTTAGTAATCTCTACCCCCGATGTGGGGCTGGGAACTCACAACCTCAAGATCAAGAGTCCCATGCTCCTTGGACTGAGCCAGCCAGGGGCCCCTTTAATTTTAAGACTTCCCCAGGAAACCAAATGAATTAGTTGTTTTTGTTTAGTAAATTATTTACAAAAAAATGGAAAAATCATTAGGGGATAAATGAGCAAGTTAGCTATGGATGTGTGTGTGTGTGTATATATATATACACACACACACACACACACACACACACATATATATATCTTTAAGATTAATGAGCATGAGAAAATGCAGTGGATCGTGTTGCGAATACAATTCTTGACTTTTTAAAAAAATAGATTTTTCTGATATTTCAGTTTTCAGAAATAACTTTTCTCTGTAGAATAAATTCAGAGGAAGAAACAATTCTGTTCATCGCTACAGAAGTAATGACAAAAGCTGGATGTCATTCATTGAGCTGGCATGTATTTAATGCCTCTGGAAGGTGTTCTGATTCGGCTCGGATTTTGGAAGGTGCAAATATGAGGAAAAGCATCTTTTCTCCCAAGAAAAGTGAGATGAGAAAGGAGATAAGACAGCCACAAAGGGGAGAGAACAGTTAGCTGGGCTCAGTGGCCTGTATACCAGGTGTGCTTCTCGTCTCTGCCCTTGACCTGCTCAGTCAGTCTATATTTTAACAGATCTGTAGGTGACCCATAGGCATAGTAAACTTTGAGAAGCAGTGTTACATAGTATTTTTTATTCTTAACAATTTTATGAGTTAACTATAATAGCAGTTTAGAGGACCTGATGAAATAAAGGTCCATTGCCTGAGGGTAACCTAGCAACTCATTTGGCAGTATCTTTTTTTTTTTTTTTTTTTGTAATTTTTTAACGTTTATTTATTATTGGGAGACAGAGAGGGAGACAGAGCATGAGCATGGGAGGGGCAGAGAGAGGGGGAGACGCAGAATCCCAAGCAGGCTCCAGGCTCCACCCTGTTAGCTCAGAGCCCAACGCGGGCTCAAACTCACAAACCGTGAGATCATGACCTGAGCCCAAGTTGGCCACTTAACTGACTGAGCCACCCAGGTGCCCCGTATATACATCTCTTCTTTGTAGGGACATGATTCCTGTCCCGTGTTTGATTCTGAGCTCTGAAGGTTGAGAAATTACATCTCCCCAATTAGTCGGAATTGATCAGCCTTTGGGGATTCACTCACACCAACAACTAATGAATTATTTAAAATAATTTTTTTTTCTAAGTTTATTTAAGTAATCTCTGCAACCCAATGTGGGGCTCGAACTCATGACCCCAAGATCAAGGGTCTCCTGCTCTTCCAACTGAGCCAACGAGATGCCCCTGACGAATTAATTTTTCTTCTCCTCCCCCCACCTCCAGCTCCATGAATTATTAATTCATTAGGGGTAGGCTGATACTTTAACCAGAAAGCTGATCTCTTAAACTTTTGGGGAGGGTGAATTTATATTTCAGAAGTTCCTTGATGAACATGGAATCACACAGAAGAAAGATAGTTTTGGAGGATATATCCGTTACTCTGTACGCTTCGAGAGGAAGGGGACTGTTTTCTGCTCTGTTAAACTCAGTGTCATGCAGAGTGCTCAGCATATGGTAGGAACTCAGGACTTATTGAATTCAGATTATTTGAATTAAAGATATTTATGTTTCAGCTAAAACACTACTTGCTATTTCCTAAAAATCTATACCCAATGTGCCTACACTATTTTTAATCCCCCCCCCCCCCCCGTTCTTAGAGGTAAGCAGTATCTTTCTATTACATCTGGCTCAACAAACTTTTTGAGAGCCACAGTATTCACTGGGTTGTCTTTCAAAGACAACAATCTCAAAAATCCTCTTTGTAGAAACATACATATATTTTAAAGAGTTCATCTTTAATCTTGAGTTTTTTTAGGGGCACCTGGGTGACTCAGTCAGTTAAGCCTCTGATGGCTCAGAGCCTGGAGCCTGCTTCAGATTCTGTGTCTCCCTCTCTCTCTGCCCTGCCACTGCCTGTGGGTGTGCCCCCTCCCTCTCTCTGTCTTTCAAAAATAAACATAGAAAAAAAAATTGAGGTGTTTTTCTTTTTTAATTATAAAGGAAGATTAATTTTCTGGATTTATGTTGTATCCAGCTCTTCAACATGTAGGGATTAATCTTGATAAAAGTACTGACAACACTAGTAACAAAAATTGCCTATGATGGGTAATTATGTTTTATTTATAGCATTTTCTATAAGACTATAGACATTGACGTTCTATTCAGTTGTAGCATTTTTGTGGTTTAACATAATATATTTCGTCCTAGATCAAAATATGTATATAGTTATGTTAGCTAAAAAAGAAAGGAATTTAAATTTTAGAATCAAGTTAATTCTAGGAATTTCTTAATTTTGTTTTACTGAAAGAATGTTTGAAATGGGATAGCAAAATTTTATTATTTGCTAATTAATTAATTAATTAATTAATTGTTTTGCAGAGTGAGTGAGGGAGAGGGGCAGTCGGAAGGGTGGGGGAGAGGAGAGAGAGAGAGACTGAGGGAGGGAGGGAGAGAGAGGACGAGTCTTAAGCAAGCTCAGCACAGAGCCCAACGTGGGGCTTGATCCCAGGACCCTGGGATCATGACCTGAGCAGAAATCGAAAGTTGAATGCTCAACTGACTGAGCCACCTAGGTGCCCTCAAAAACGGTTTTTGAAGTTCTGCTATTTCACTCAGGTTTTCTCAGCTAGAATATTTTTTTCCTTTTCTTTCTATTTTGTTTGTTTAAATAGAGAATCAATGCAGTTGTTGATTCTTTGAATCTTTAAATCTTACTGTTTCTGTCTCCTAGAGAATTTTATATAGGACTGCAAGGAACTTCTGTTTGTAATTAGAATTGTATCTAGGAAACAAAGTGCTTAGGAGTAAAATTCTCTAACTTTTGGCAGGCTAGGGAGCTTTGGAAGGTATGTCAGTTTTTTTTAGTAAGCCTCAGATACTCAAAAGCTTGCTTTAGGATATACTATTTTTGTGGGGCTCACGGGTGGCTCAGTCAGTTAAGCGTCTGACTTCAGCTCAGGTCATGATCTCACAGATGGTGAGTTCAAGCCCCACGTCGGGCTCTGTGCTCACAGCTCGGAGCCTGGAGCCTGCTTCAGATTCTGTGTCTCCCTCTCTCTCTGCCCCTCCCCTGCTCGTGCTCTGTCTCTTTCTCTCTCAAAAATAAGTAAATGTTTTTTGGGTTTTTTTAATTTAGAATATACTATTTTTTGTACTAA